AACAGTAGATGAGACAGGGGGAGACAGGCCAGGGCAGACGGTGAACAGATCGCCAGGTGGAATCCAAGCAGCAGTGCAGCAGGAGTAGGTGTCACACCAGTTTGGGAGAAGCTTTATTCGAGAGGCAGATTCCTTGTAGAAAATCCCAGCTAGGTAGCAAGTCTCTGTTCACCGTTTTTTTCAACATGCAAAAGGAAGTCGTTAACTAGCTATAATCGCTTCAGTTTCGGTTAAAGGTCCTTTACGACGTCCAAACAAAGTTGTCCTGTGATTGTTGTATCTTGGAGATTGCGAGGAGGATATCTTCTGATGTCACGCAAGTTCTATCACTTCAAACTGAAGCTGGAATGACATTTTTTTCTTTTTCTATTGACATTTCTTTGTGTGTGTATATATATATATATATATATATATATATATATATATATATATATATATATATATATATATATATATATATATATATATATATATATATATATATATATATATATATATGTATATACACACACACACACACACACACACACACATATTATGCTGATTCATGATTTCGACTGGCTGAGAAAAGCTGCCAGCCTGTCTGTCTCATCCCAACACGTTCATAACCATAGGACAGCTGGGGATCGAATTTCAATATTGAAACAATGTTGGAAATGCCGGAGAGACACACAGCAAGATAATTACAAATCTCCGCTGTTGAAAACCAAATGCTAGTCTAAAAGAAATGGGAGATAATGTCTAGATGCTTTTTACAGTGTAGATCTAGTATATAAATTGCCTGGCTGAGCTGATGAAGCCAATAGAAAAACATTGAATACGGTGGCTTGCGAAAGTATTCACCCCACTTGGCATTTTTCCTATTTTGTTGCCTTACAACCTGGAATTAAAATGGATTTTTGGGGGGTTTGTATCATTTGATTTACACAACATGCCTACCACTTTGAAGATGCAAATTTTTTTTTTTTTTGTGAAACAAACAAGAAATAAGACCAAAAAATAAAAAATGTGAGCGTGCATAACTATTCACCCCCCCAAAGTCAATACTTTGTAGAGCCACCTTTTGCAGCAATTACAGCTGCAAGTCTCTTGGGGTATGTCTCTATAAGCTTGGCACATCTAGCCACTGGGATTTTTGCCCATTCTTTAAGGCAAAACTGCTCCAGCACCTTCAAGTTGGATGGGTTCCGCTGGTGTACAGCAATCTTTACGTCATACCACAGATTCTCAATTGGATTGAGGTCTCGGCTTTGACTAGGCCATTCCAATAAATGTAAATGTTTCCCCTTAAACCACTTAAGTGTTGCTTTAGCAGTATGCTTAGGGTCATTGTCCTGCTGGAAGGTGAACCTCCGTCCCAGTCTCAAATCTCTGGAAGACTGAAACAGGTTTCCCTCAAGAATTTCCCTGTATTTAGCGCCATCCATCATTCCTTCAATTCTGACCAGTTTCCCAGTCCCTGCCGATGACAAACATCCCCACAGCATGATGCTGCCACCACCATGCTTCACTGTGGGGATGGTGTTCTTGGGGTGATGAGAGGTATTGGGTTTGCGCCAGACATAGCATTTTCCTTGATGGACAAAAAGCTCAATTTTTGTCTCATCTGACCAGAGTACCTTCTTCCATATGTTTGGGGAGTCTCCCACATGCCTTTTGGCGAACACCAAATGTGTTTGCTTATTTTTTTCTTGAAGCAATGGCTTTTTTCTAGCCACTCTTCCGTAAAGCCCAGCTCTGTGGAGTGTACGGCTTAAAAAGTGGTCCTATGGACAGATACTCCAATCTCTGCTGTGGAGCTTTGCAGCTCCTTCAGGGTTATCTTTGGTCTCTTTGATGAATGCTTTTCTTGCTTGGTCCGTGAGTTTTGGTGGGCGGCCCTCTCGTGGCAGGTTTGTTGTGGTGCCATATCTTTCCATTTTTTTATAATGGATTTAATGGTGCTCCGTGGGATGTTCAAAGTTTCTGATATTTTTTTATAACCCAACCCTGATCTGTACTTCTCCACAACTTTGTCCCTGACCTGTTTGGAGAGCTCCTTGGTCTTCATGGTGCTGCTTGGTTCGTGGTGCCCCTTGCTTAGTGGTGTTGCAGACTCTGGGGCCTTTCAGAACAGGTGTATATATATATATATATATATATATATACACACAGTGGGGAGAACAAGTATTCGATACACTGCCGATTTTGCAGGTTTTCCTACTTACAAAGCATGTAGAGGTCTGTAATTTTTATCATAGGTACACTTCAACTGTGAGAGACGGAATCTAAAACAAAAATCCAGAAAATCACATTGTATGATTTTTAAGTAATTAATGTGCATTTTATTGCATGACATAAGTATTTGATACATCAGAAAAGCAGAACTTAATATTTGGTACAGAAACCTTTGTTTGCAATTACAGAGATCATACGTTTCCTGTAGGTCTTGACCAGGTTTGCACACACTGCAGCAGGGATTTTGGCCCACTCCTCCATAGAGACCTTCTCCAGATCCTTCAGGTTTCGGGGCTGTCGCTGGGCAATACGGACTTTCAGCTCCATCCAAAGATTTTCTATTGGGTTCAGGTCTGGAGACTGCCTAGGCCACTCCAGGACCTTGATATGCTTCATACGGAGCCACTCCTTAGTTGCCCTGGCTGTGTGTTTTGGGTCGTTGTCATGCTGGAAGACCCAGCCACGACCCATCTTCAATGCTCTTACTGAGGGAAGGAGGTTGTTGGCCAAGATCTCGCGATACATGGCCCCATCCATCCTCCCCTCAATACGGTGGAGTCGTCCTCTCCCCTTTGCAGAAAAGCATCCCCAAATAATGATGTTTCCACCCTCCATGCTTCACGGTTGGGATGGTGTTCTTGGGGTTGTACTCAACCTTCTTCTTCCTCCAAACACGGCGAGTGGAGTTTAGACCAAAAAGCTATATTTTTGTCTCATCAGACCACATTACCTTCTTCCATTCCTCCTCTGGGTCATCCAGATGGTCATTGGCAAACTTCAGATGGGCCTGGACATGCGCTGGCTTGAGCAGGGGGACCTTGCGTGCGCTGCAGGATTTTAATCCATGACGGCGTAGTGTGTTACTAATGATTTTCTTTGAGACTGTGGTCACAGCTCTCTTCAGGTCATTGACCAGGTTCTGCCGTGTAGTTCTGGGCTGATCCCTCACCTTCCTCATGATCATTGATGCCCCACGAAGTGAGATCTTGCATGGAGCCCCAGACCGAGGGTGATTGACCGTCATCTTGAACTTCTTCCATTTTCTAATAATTGCGCCAACAGTTGTTGCCTTCTCACCAAGCTGCTTGCCTATTGTCCTGTCTGTAGCCCATCCCAGCCTTGTGCAGGTCTACAATTTTATCCCGGATGTCCTTACACAGCTCTCTGGTCTTGGCCATTGTGGAGAGGTTGGAGTCTGTTTGATTGAGTGTGTGGACAGGTGTCTTTTATACAGGTAACGAGTTCAAACAGGTGCAGTTAATACAGGTAATGAGTGGAGAACAGGAGGGCTTCTTAAAGAAAAACTATCAGGTCTGTGAGAGCCGGAATTCTTACTGGTTGGTAGGTGATCAAATACTTATGTCATGCAATAAAATGCAAATTAATTACTTAAAAATCATACAATGTGATTTTCTAGATTTTTGTTTTAGATTCTGTCTCTCACAGTTGAAGTGTACCTATGATAAAAATTACAGACCTCTACATGCTTTGTAAGTAGGAAAACCTGCACAATCGGCAGTGTATCAAATACTTGTTCTCCCCACTGTATGTATGTGTATATATATATATATATATATATATATATATATATATATATATACACACACTGAGATCATGTGACACCTAGATTGCACACAGGTGGACTTTATTTAACTAATTAAGTGACTTAGGTAATTGGTTGCACCAGATCTTATTTAGGGGCAAAGGGGGTGAATACATATGCACGCACCACTTTTCCCTTATACATTTTTTAGAATGTTTTTAAACAAGTCATTTTTTTCATTTCACTTCACCAATTTGGACTATTTTGTGTATGTCCATTACATGAAATCCAAATAAAAATCAATTTAAATTACAGGTTGTAATGCAACAAAATAGGAAAAACGGCAAGGGGGATGCATAATTTTGCAAGGCACTGTAACACATCCAGAAATGGCAAAAAAGAACAGTCAGAAAATAAATCTAGGAGAAGTAAAAATAAAATATAAACATAGGTACAAAACTACCTTCATACTTCCATTCGTTTTTTTAAACCGGTACCGGTTACCTTCAGACGAGTCCCGTGACACTTGTGGTGGTCCTAGAGCAAAACGGAGCGCCATCGTGTTCGTGAGAATCTCCCATTTCCACAGTGGGGTCCCATTAGTTTATAGCCCAAACAGTTCAGACGCTACCAAACAGAAGTTGGCACATCGACGGTACCGACTTCAGACGAGTCTCCTGACACTTGTGGGGATCGTAGAGCAAAACGGAGAACACCATCGTGTTCGTGAGAGTCTCCCCCTGTAGGTCAAACTGTACGGACACTAGATGTTTACGGGAGAAGACCGATTTTCGGGATGCATCATGGTCTGACAAACACCACTTTAGCTCTGCCAGCTTTCACCGCAGACGTGGAAGTGCGACACTGGTGGATGCGGTGGATTGAGATGCATCCAATACAAAAAAACATTTATCTTAAACTGACGGATTTATGTTTTTATTTTGTTATGTAACCTCGATTCGGTGTGTCAATCGACTCTAGGGGGTTAAAAAAAGGTCAAATCTGGGATCTGAGAATTTGTTCAATGGTCAAATACATTTTGTCTAGCTTCAAAATGTTTTAACCTATCATGTGGGTATTTGTCAGTCTAAGTATCTAGAAAACTGTCTATGAATTTCAGAGGGGCTATATTTCCCTAGCCCTATACCTCAACTGTACACCAAAATAAGTGGCGGCGATGCCACTTTGCTGAAAAACAAATTCCAGAATGTAGCTTTAAAATCCTGTATAAGAAATCTCCTCACCGCGTAATGTCACTGGCGGTCTGTTCATCTCCTTGGAGATCCGTCATTGAGCTGTCTCCGTTGCTAAGGGGGTCGTCCACACCCATTAGGTCATTGCCGTCGGTAATGTCGTTCATCTCCCGGGCCTTGTTCATGTGAGCCAGTGATGTTACCACGTTGGCCAACGTGCTCAGGTCGCCCTGACACGGGTCATTCTATGGAGGGGTACAAGGGACAATCAGCACCATTATTAATAATGGAAAAAATGGAAACTACTAATGGAGTCCCAATCCTTTCCCATTGTAAACATTTGTGAATAGATATATTTCCTTCCTTAGATAAGAAACAGATAGAAATACGGTGTCTCCTATTGCCCTGGGAGAGATGGTCTTCACTTATACTGTGCCTCAAGAAAGTATTCATACCCCTTGACTTATTCCACATTTTGTTGTGTTCCAGCCTGAATTCAAAATGTGTTACATATATTTTCTTCTCTCACCCATCTACACACACAATAACAAAATGAAAACATGTTTTTAGACATTTTTGCTAATTTATTGAAAATAAATTACAGGAGGTGGGCGGTTGGATGGACACATTTTTTTTTACATACTACATTTGTAACTTTTTGGCTCTGTGGTATGATCATGGTGATCAATGCTTTGTATGTGTACTTTTTTTTTTTTTTTTACTATTATTTTTGAGTGGTACCCCATGGGTGGATGCGAGCTAACTATGAAATTATGTATTATGCCCCCCCGTGCTGTAGTTACTAACCGATTCAGGGGATGTGGGGACCAGGATGGTGTTCTCCAGCTTGGGGAATGGCTGCTGGATGTTGAGGAGCATGCTCGACTCCAGCAAACTAGTTGACCTGCAAACACAAACAACACTTCAATTCTACCATCTAATCCCACAGAGATCTCGAAGGTTTACCCTCACCATCCTCTTCATCTGCACTAATCTGGAAAAAAGGTTGAAAGCTAGCCTATTTTGGCTGCGCTTAGACAGGCATATTTTTTTCCACTAATTGGTCTTTTGACCAATCACATCAGATCTGTTCACATCAGATCTTTTTCAGAGCTGATCTGATTGGTCAGAATACTAATTAGTGAAAGAAAGATCAGAACTGGGCTACCTGTCTAAACACAGCCAATGTTGAGCTTCCACCATATTGTTTTCACCTATCAAATCTTGTCCAATCAGTGCAGATGAAGGGGAGGAGAGTCCAATTATGAATGATTGAGACTGCTGAAGCAGTGGTTAGTCTTCTCATTCCACAAGGGCAGAGGTGCATAAATCCAGTGGACCACAGATTATCCATTATATTGACCAGATTCTCAAGTGGCCACTTTAACAATGAAATAAAATGTATTTAAAAAATGGAGGGTAGTCGGGAGGAAGCAAGATCAGGTGGGACCATTCTAGCCAATGAGAGGGCAGATACGCGTAAACAGGAACAACTCCGATATAAAAATAAAAAAACGTTGCCGGGTTGTCACGTGTCCTACTTATATCAGTACAACCTAAGCATTACGGAACTTCTATTTGATCAAATAAAAAGCCACACGTAGCAAATAAGCAATTACATTTCTTGTTAACCAAATTCGACCTTCTTTTTGACCTCCATACAAAAACTCCTTGCTTGGTGAGCGGAGAAAAATGAAACCGTCACCTGCTGGAGAAGACCGATCTTGGACCCAGTTATCCCTCTCGCTTCACCTCTTCCTCTCCGAGTGGACTCTACGGACTGATTTCTACCTGGGAACCCAGGTGTGTCCACTCTCCAGCCAATCAGTAACATCAATTAATTAATTAGGGCTCACACACACTGGCAACGCATCCCACACAGAGCTTACGGTGGAGTATGCGCTCCGTGCCTTTTGATGCTGTGTTTGATGTGACCTCATGCACCTATATTCCGCCACTCCAACCCAACTTCCCCAATGAATTACATAGAGTTGGTTTCATCATTTTATGCTGCGTTGGTCTATGTCATGGGGCCCTTAAGCCAGCTGCAGTACCTGGCGGTTTCCTTGTAGTACCTGGCGGTTTCCTTGTAGTACCTGGCGGTTTCCTTGTCGGTGACGAAGGTGGGCGTGGCAGCCAGAGGACTACACAGGTTCTTCCTGATGTAGATCTTCTCTGTAGACGCAGCACAGTTGATAGACTTCTCTCTGGATACCTCCACCGGCTTCCTCTCACACTGAACGGCTGAGAGAGAGGAAGAGAACAGTTGAAACTCTAATCCACCTTATGTGCATTTTGTGATCGACTACATTGCAGTTGGACTACACAGAACCAGTGATTTACAAATCACCTTCCATCCCAAATAACTCCTCATTATGGCTGTGTTTACACAGGCAGCTAAATTCAGATCTTTCGCCAATTAATTTGCATTCTAATATTTTCCTAATGTGTAAACAGCAACAAAAAAAACACATGGAATCTGATCTTTTGATTTACAATTCATACCACCTCCATATGGCTGCGTTTACACAGGCTTTACTGGATCTGATTCAAAACCGATCCTCCATATGCAACCTCTGTCTGGACGCTCAGATCAGATTTCTTTGCTCGGAAGTTTATTTTTTGCACATGACATGCCGTTACCATGACAACCATCCCCCAAAAAATCACAGTGACAGGAAATTAGCATTGCATCTGTGTGCTACTTCAGAGGCTACATCAGTGAGTGTGGGCAGAAATAAATATTGGATATAGAAATTAAATCAGATTTGCGTTCTTAGAGTGGCTGTGTAAACAGCCATTATGTGATCAATATTAGCGATACTGCACCTCCACTTTGCTCAAACTGATCCCCTCAAACATACTGACTAGTAAGCAACTCAGGGCATTGTGGAACATTGCAGATGTTGACAAACTGACACCATTCCTTAATTAACATGTTAGAGAAGCATGTTTGTTTAACATTATATATTCCTACGTGAACGTCAGTAAGTGATTGGGGCAGATACTCACAGTCCTGTTTCATTCCCAGGACCATGCAGCGCTGCAGTCTGCAGTACTGGCAGCGGTTCCTGTGGTGCTTGTTGATGACACACTCTCCGGACCCCCTGCATGTATAAACCAGGTTCTTCCTGATGCTGCGCTTGAAGAAACCCTTACAGCCCTCACAGCTCACCGCCCCGTAGTGACGTCCTGGGCAAGGAGAAGGGGGGGGGAGTCAGTCACACAATAAGAAGAGAGGGTGTGTGTACACAAGTTCAAGTGCATGTCATTCCTACCTGAGGCCTTGTCTCCACACACCACACAGTACTCCACCACGGGCTTGGAAAGGGCCTGGTCTGACCCTTCCGTCACAAACTGGAAATACAACGCACACAAAAAGCAAAAGAGGCATTCATATCAAGTGTCAAAGGTACTTTTAGGGGCCTGTTTCCCTCACAGATTAAGCATAGTACTGGACTAAATGGACTGTCAATCCTTGCATATAGAGCACTGTCTAATATGAATTTGAGAGGGGTTACATTTCCCTAACCCCATCCCTCAGCTGTATACAAAAACAAATGGCAGGGCGGCTGTTTTGCTGAAAAACTATTCCCAGATCGTAGCTTTAATCTGTGCTTGGGGAACCAGAATATTGCGGATAGCAATATTCTGAGTAGATGGTAGTAAGAGACTAGAATATTGGTGGTGCTGGCCGCGGCCTCTACCTGGATCTGCTGGCCGGCCAGGTCAGGGGAGGCAAACAGCAGCTGGTTGACCCCTGAACCGTCTGGGGCCGCCAGGATCACCTTGCCCGGGGACGAGGCCTCTTGTTTGGCTAGGATTACCTTGCCTGGCGTAGAGTAGTCTGCGTTAGCCAGGATAAACTGCTGCTTGCCACCAGAACCCTGCTCCAATGCAGTGACGATCTGGATCTTCTGGCCCGTGGACTGGTCTGTCACAATCTGGAAGGAAAGGAGAAGAATCAAGTCAAATGAGAATAACATAAATACTACAGCCAAATGATATTGGGTTAGGATACTGTCTGAAGCCAATATGCTCTATTTGGTATAATCAAATGCTGAAGATGAACATGTTAATAGTGTCCTGTCCCGTACCTTTCCACTGGAATCTAACCCTGATGCTATGTTCTGCTATTTTCTAACCTTGAAGTCATATGAAGCTACTAGTCATGCAGATGTTGACTAATAATAGCCTTGACCTATAGTTTCGGGGTAAGAGATAACCTGAGACGTGAATGTCACAGCCATGTATCATGTCAGGAAATGACCGGTCTGTTACATTACCTGGATTCGGTGTCCCATCATGCCACCATCAGCTGACACCAGCTGAATCCTCTGAGTCTGTCCGTCCATGATGCTGATTCTGTTTCCTTCTGCTGCTGCTCACATCAAAGCCCCATGAGGCACATCAAAACTGTGGAGGAAGGAAGGAATGTTTCACAGTTACTGGGTATGCATTGAAAATCGATAATAAACATATTTGCATCAGAACAAGGTCTCAGACAGTGAGATGTGTAGAAAATGGGCTTATTAACATCATAGCAAAAACAATTTTTTGGCTTGCTTCGAAAAGATTTGAAAGACCACATCCTGAAATAGACACAATATAGTTGGTCCTAGGCATAAAGGATGGGCCAGTAACAGGTCTATACAATATGAGGACAAACATAGGCCTACATTATTACACGCAGTACTTATGAACGTCAAATGTTCAGGCTGCTGCACAGTCTATGGAGGCTCTAGTTAAGAGAGCCCAGTAAAATTTAGTTTGAGAGCATTTTTTTACTCTCTAAATGGTTAAATGAGTGAGAAATACATGGTCATTGTTGCAATGGTTTGTGGTTGGGCAACATATACTAGCAGCTTAAATCGACATGCTGAATTATTTTCCATATAAAACTACTTTAGATTGCGCTAATTTCCCTAATGTGGAACGTTTGAGTTACTACCTTACACAAGATTGCATTTTCACCCCATAATATTGAGTGGAATTACACATCCTTTTTACCTCAGATTGGTAATGTTAGAATAAAAGTGTAGTCATCACGATGACATAAGATCAATTACTTAAAAAATATTAATATCTTTGGTGTTGTACCGTTGATTTTGTCACACGCTGGGGTGCGCAGGACTTACATACTGACCAAACCAGCCATGTAGCGTACGCGAGTGTTGCAAAATAAATGTACACATACATGTTATTCAATCATTTCATCCAAACCGCTCGCACGCTTAGGGCTGTGGCGGTCATTACATTTTGTCAGCCAGTGATTGTCATGCAAATAATAACTACCGGTCTCACGGTAATTGACCTTTAATTAACATAAACATGTTTAGCAGCTCTTGGCTTCCAAACATAGCCTACAAGCCACTGATGCATACCTTTAGAATATCTACATTTTAAAAAAAAGTATAATAAATCCATGTAATATAGCCAATAAATCCATTATTTATTTTAGACAGGTCTAAAGAAACATGATATGAAGGAAATGTAGTCTATTTCAGAAGAACAGAATAGCATACTCTGAGTTGTCCTTATGTTAGGCCCTGATCTGGCTATGCAATATGGCTGTGGGCTACACTAGTTCATTTAGCGTACAAGATTTTCTTAGAATTTTGTGGTATTATTTGATATTACAGTATGAAGAACACAATTAAAACACAGATGAATAAAATAGAAAGGATATTTTCTCCAAACGATTTCCGAAAGGGCTTTTGTGTGTTGAGCGGTTATCAAAGAAACAAGTCCTCCTATATGCTTAATTTAGAGTTATTTATGCAACTTCAGTTGTGATACAAATGTTGGGCTATGTGTTATGATTTTTAATACATTCTAAGGCTGCATGATGCGACTATAGATGAGTTGGGGGAAAAAAGTCACATGAAAGGCAGACTCGATACACTTCATCAGTCTCTCATTCACAATTTGACAAGCACTTGATAATATTTCACCAGGCCTCGAATTTCACGGCGGCATCCGTATTGCCCCATACAAAATCAATGCCTTTTGCAGCCAAAGTGGCCATCATGCCCTTGGGCTGAATATAATAATTATAATTCCCTTCGCCCAGCTGCCAATCACCATTCTCCGAAGCACCTCGCACTCACATGGCTCTATCAGATATCTCAATTTTGATTAGCCAATGCCAGTCACATGATCGGGTCCTTCTCACGGGCATCTCAGCTCCGGAGTAGGCTACAAGTGAAGACTGACACATCAGGGACGCAACGGCAAGCGCCCTTATCTAATTCCGAGGCGCATATTAAATATGTTAGAACTGTACACATTTACTTTGTGTCAGCCAACAAGATGAGTAGGCCTAACGAACAGCAAAAGCACTAGACTATGACAATCTACTACCTATTCTACTGGTCAACTTGTGGGATGCGATAGATCCCAAATTAATATAACCACTTGCATCAAAAAAACGTTTAAAAGCAATGAGGCTAATAAAACAGATCAGAACGTTTAGCTTAAAATGTTGATAAACTATTAGGCTATTCTTCACATTATAAGACCAGCAATGCGCACACGGCACTAGGCTATAAGTGTGAATGTTCCAAAATGCAATCAATTAGCAAACACTGTTCTCAAAAGTGACCGCAAATGCGATTATGATATAAAGGTGCGATTTTCTGGTAAAAATGTCCTTCCCCAAACTTTAAACGCAAACTCTACACCGGTTGTAAAGCGGATTAATGTGCTTAATTTTATTTGGCCACTTTAGTTGTGATACAAACCTTATCAACATATAGGCCTATGGGCTAGGCTACATGAGGTGTGCAACTATGAAGAAAAAGTTGCACAAAAAAAAGGCATTACAAAACCAATACATGGATTTGACAGTCAAACTTAAGTAGCAGCCAACCATTGTCACTGTTAATATCCTATGCCGCGTCATGATTCTTTGAAGTTAACTATCAGAAAAAGTGGCTTGTTCCCTTTTCGTGATGTCAGCCTCCCGAAATCAACATCATACACTCCAATATAGACACTGAACAAAAATATAAATTGTTGGTCCCATGTTTCATGAGCTGAAATAAAAGATCCCAGAAATGTTCCATACGCACAAAAAGCTTGTTTCTCTAAAATGTTGTGCACACATTTGTTAACATCCCTGTAAGTCAGCATTTCTCATTTGCCAAGATGATCCATCCACCTGACAGGTGTGGCATATCAAGAAGCGGATTAAACAGCATGATCATTACACAGGTGCACCTTGTGCTGGGGACAATAAAAGGCCACTCTAAAATGTGCAGTTGTCACCCACACAATGCCACAGATGTTTCAGGTTTTGAGGGAGCATGCAATTGGCATGCTGACTGCAGGAATATCCACCAAGAGCTGTTGCCAGAGAATTTAATGTTCATTACTTTACCATTAGCCGCCTCCAACGTCGTTTTAGAGAATTTGGCAGTACGTCCAACCGACCTCACAACTGCAGACCACGTGTATGGCATTTTGTGGGCGAGCGGTTTACTGATGTCAACATTGTGAACAGAGTGCCCCATGGTGGCGATGGGGTTATGGTATGGGCAGGCATAAGCTACGGACAACAAACACAATTGCATTTTATCTATGACAATTTGAATTCAGAGATACTGTGACGCGATCCTGAGGCCCATTTTCGTGCCATTCATCCGCCTCCATCACCTCATTTTTCAGTATGATAATGCACGGTCCCATGTTGCAAGGATCTGTACACAATCGCTGGAAGCTAAAACTGCCCTAGTTCTTCCATGGCCTGCATACTCACCAGACATGCCACCCATTGAGCATGTTTGGGATGCTCTGGATCGACGTGTATGACAGCATGTTCCAGTTCCTGCCAATATCCAACAACTTTGCACAGCCATTGAAGAGTGGGACAACATTCCACAGGCCACAATCAACAGCCTGATCAACTCTATGGGAAGGAGATGGGTCACGATGCATGAGGAAAATGGTGGTCAGACAGATACTGACTGGTTCTCTGATCCACGCCCCTACCTTTTTTTTTTAAAGGTATCTCTGACCAACAGATGCATATCTGTATTCCCAGTCATGTGAAATCCATAGATGAGGGCCTAATGAATTTATTTCAATTTACTGATTTGCTTACATGAACTGTAACTCAGTAAAATCTTTGAAATTGTTGCACGTTGCGTTTCTTTTCTTTTCAGTATAGATAAAAAAAGGTCTCATCTAAACAACCATGTATAGGATATTCCAAGTTTCCGTGTCGCCTTTGAATAGTGCTAGTTTAAACAGCGCTACACCCCAAACGTTTGCCCCCTGTTCTATTGATTTCAACATCATATCGATAGAAGTGATTAACAAAAGAAGTGTTGCGTTACACTTAGCCTACCGCGTTGGCGACCCAATTGAATCAAAATGTAGATGACTGTGTTCTGCAGGTTGTCCTCTAACCAGTGATATAAAAAAATACCTCCAGGTCCGTGTGTTTTTTGAGTTGTGGTAGTTTCAACAGCACATATTGATGAGTGATTTATTGCCACTTGTCAAAACAACAGATTTTTTGGTGTGTGTGCAGTTTATAATGTGCTTGTTAAATATATATATATATACACACAAGTAATATGATTACTATTGTGGCACATGTACGTATAGATATATTGAAACATGAAATCTATCACAAACTGTTTCTGCATGTTGGTCATAGATTTGGACAGTTTAAAACTGCTGTTTTGACATTACATGCTGACCAGACCGCACGTGCGCCATCGCGCGAATGTTGATTTTGTTTACCCACACCAGACCCGATCAGGACATGCAGGTTGAAATATCAAAACGAACTCTGAACCAACTATATTAATTTGGGGACAGGTCGAAAAGCATTAAACATTTATGGCAATTTAGCTTGCTAGCTTGCTGTTGCTAGCCAATTTGTCCTGGGATATAAACATTGGGTTGTTATTTTACCTGAAATGCACAAGGTCCTCTACTCCAACAATTAATCCACAGATAAAAGGGTAAACCGAGTTCGCTTCTAGTAATCTCTCCTCCTTCAGGATTCTTCTTTGGACTTTATATGGCGGTTGGCAACCAATTTTAAGGTGCATTACCACCACCAACTGGACTGGAGTGTGGACCTCAGTTCATCTTTCAATCACCCACGTGGGAATATGCTCCTAAAAACCAATGAGGAGATGGGAGAGGCGGGACTTGCAGCGCGTCAAAAATAGAACGAAGTTCTATTTTAGCGCCTGGTTCCGCATACGCGAGCGAACAGTGTGGGTGCAATGATTGAATAACATTTTAGTCATTTAGCAGACGCTCTTATCCAGAGCTTACAGTTAGTGAGTGCATACATTTTCATACTGGCCCCCCGTGGGAAACGAACACACAACCC